TTTGGTTCCCTTTCCCTTTTCCTGTGTGTCGTGCGTTGGGTTCGGAGTTTGTACCTGACCTTCTTAGTTCAGGATAATAAATTCGGGAAGGTGGGCCCAGAGAAGCAATAGAAAGAGAGGAAGGAAGCGGTGTACAATTTGCCAACAGTGTACAATTTGCCAACGGATGAGTTCTTTTTTGTTTGCTTTTTAAATCTTGATTTGATTTTGAAATGCCTTCTTTCCTCCCCTCCTATTCAGTATGACAGTTTTTTTTTTTTTTTTAAGTTAAGAGGAACGAAATGAAATGTACTTAATGGATTTTGAGAGGTGTTTACAGTGCTCTTTCAAATAGCTGATGCTGGCAGTTTGTCCGGACCAGGGCTGGACATCAGCAGGCTGGCTCTTTAGCGGCCTGCAAACGGGGCCTTTCTCCCATGTCATGGGTCAGATTCTTCTGTTGGCATCCTATTAAATGGGCTGAATGTTTGTGGCCTCCTGAAATACATATATTGAAGCCCTAACCTCCAGTGTGAGAATATTTGGAGGTGGGGGACTTCAGGAGATAATGGGTTAGATGAGGTCAGGAGGGTGGGTCTTCCATTGATGGGATTAGTGATCTTACAGGAAGAGAAAGAGAGACCAGAGCTTGGTTCCCTGTAAGCACACAGAGAGAAGGTGGCCATTAGCAAGCCAGCAAGAGAGTTCTTACCAGGAACGGAATCTGCAGACACCTTGATCTTGGGCCTCCCAGCCTCCAGAAGGGGGAGAAGTAAAAGTCTGTTGTTTAAGCCCCACCCCCCGACCCCCAGTCTAGGGCTTGTTGTGACAGCAGCCTGAGCAGACTAGGACATGCCCCATTTTGGCTTTCCTGTCTCTTCACGTTAGGAGAGACCCTGGGCCCCCCACTAGACCTTCCCCATTTGTCTCCCAATCCACAGTCCCCTCGGAGAGGCAGCCCTGTGCAGGGAGCCCTCTGAGTTCACCTGCAGGGTCATGTTCATTCCGGACTGTACACTTCCATGGGGAAAAATTGAAACCCTGAGCGTCACTGGGATATTGAGTGGGGCTGGTTTGTTCTAAGGCAAAAGAACTCAAGGACATCACGCTTGCCGTCTTCAAATATCCAAGGGACGATTGTGTTCAAAAGGGAAGGCACTCATTCAGTGTTGCTGGATTCAGAGGAAGAAGTGGATTGAAATTCATCTTGCAGAGGAGACTTTGACCAATGAACACTGCCCAGCCCAGGCTAGGCTGCCTGCGGAGGGAATGAGCTCCCTGTCACTGGAGGTGTGCAAGAATCCCTAAGGGATACTTACGAGGAGACGCATGGGGAGTGGGGACACTCTACTGCATGGCTTCTTCTTCTTATTTTTAAAAATGTTTTATTTATTTTTGATAGAGAGAAAGCACGAGTGGGGGAGGGGCAGAGAGATTAGGGCAGTGGGGGTGCGGGTGGGTGGGTGGCGATAGAGGATCCGAAGCAGCCCCTATGGGCAGCTCAAACTCAGGAGCCTCTAGGTCATGACCTGAGCCAAAAGTCTGCTGCTCAGTCCCCTGAGCCCCGGTGTCCCTCTACGGCATGGCTTCTGAGCCTCCCATCCCCCAGCTCTGAGACTCCACAGCTTCAGGATTGTTTAGTTGGGAAAGCAATTAAAGAAATCCACTGACGTGAGGACCAAGCTATAAAAAAAAAATCTTTATTTCATGTACCAGGATTTTTTTCTTTTTTTTTTCTTTTTTAAGTTTTCTGCTTTTTAAAATTTTTTTTTTTTCTGTTAACAGTCTGAAAAAAAAAAAAAAAGGACCCACCAAGAAAATAAAACGGAGGTTGGTTTCTTGAACTGGTTTGAGCTGGACATGAGCAATCAGCTGCCCTGGCAAGCGGTGCCCTTGACATCCCCACTCCCCGCTCCCTCCCTTGGGCCCCCTAGCCCTTTCTCCGCAGTGCTGGCGTCACCCCCCACCCAGACGGCTCCAGGCCCCAGCCTGGAGAGAAGCCCCCGTTATCCCACAAACACTCCGCCAGGACCCAGAGAACCGGGGCCAATTTTCCTCTTTCGACAGCACCCGTTTGTTTGCTGTTTTCTTGGGGCCTCTCCTACTCTCTAGTCCTTCATCTTTGCAGGGTTGGTGGGGGGAGGGAGGGACTGCGATCTCAGCCCAGACTGAGAAGTGCTGGGTGGCCCACGACGTGGCTCCGCCCCGGGGCGTGGCCTTCCGTGCACTTGGGGGCTGGGCCCCAGACGCTCCCCTTGCAGCCGCTGCTGACCCAGCAGGGCTTTCCTTTCCCACTTTCCACACTCTCCAGAGCTCGACTTTAGGAACTTCAGGCCCGGCCGGCGTGAAGCAAACCAAGTGGGAGCCACCAGCAGGGGCCCCCACTTTTAGCAGAGTGGCTCACAGGCTGGGCTGAAATCCGCACTCTCTCGAGAAAGCCGTCGGGCGTGCGTGAGTCCGGACTGGCCTTTGCTGGTCTGGGAAGAAGGGGGAGCGACACCGGGCTGGACGGCCCAGACTTTAGTCCTTGGTGCCAGCTTAATTTGGGGGCTTGGTCCTCAACCAGCGACCGAACTTTCTGTAAAGTCATCGCCAACGTCCCCTCGACCTTAACCCCTCCCAGCAAACCTCAGAGGACCCTCTTTTTCCCTGACCCCCAAAGGCAGTGGGGAAGGCCTGGCGGCTAATCTCTTCTCTCAGAGAAGCCCCCTTCACTCCCTGTGGCTGGGTTATGGCACTAAAGAAAGGGGACACCAAATGAAGGTGACTTGGGGGACCTCTGGTGCTTTCCCCCTCTCTGTCTGAATGGCAGGATACGTTTGCTCACATGTGTGTGTTTTTGCTCTGACATCGGATGTGGGGGCAGGGGCTCGGGAGCACAGTGAGGAGGCATATGGTTGTGTGTGTGTGTGTGTGTGTGTGTGTGCGCGCGCACGCCTGAGAGGCTGACTGATGATTTGGGAATGTTCTCAATGTCTGGGGGCTGGATGGCAGCTATTTTGATCATCCTTGGCATCTTCCTCTGGCCAGGTGGCTGATCTTAAAAGTCATCGCCACCAAGAATAAGAATGGGCCTTTTGGAGCTCATGTAGGGCAATCCCGATGCTTACACAGGGGGAAACTGAGGCCCAGAGAGGCCATTGCAGCAAGGGATTCCAAAATCCAGAGCTAGATTTTAGACTGGGGCCCTTTCCATGCGTGTGAATGCTGTGTATGCACGCGCTCGGTTGTTGTCAATGGCTTTGAAAGGCATGAGTCAGTGTTCTCTGAACCTTGCCTCGGGCTGTGTATGGGAGGGAAGAGTCTAGATTCCAGGGTGTGATTGGAGCACAGGGCCCGGAGGAGTGTGTATGTGTGTGCGTGTGTGTGTGTGAGTGGGTGTCCGATCTCCTTCGCGTAGACCGGGTTCTCCATCCTGACTCTCTCTTCCACATTAGCAGCACCTTCCTGGTATAAGGAAGAGATCTTTCCTCACAGAGCCTCCCTGCTGCTCCCCCGGGGCCTCCTCCTCTCCATCTCCCTCCCCCTGAGCCCAGCCCTTATCTCTTGCAGCAGTTTTGTTTTGTTTTGTTTTTTAAATGGATTTGGATATTTGTTTTCTGTTTTCTCTTTACAAGTTCCCTGCTAAATTTTAAGTCCCCCAACCCCACCGCATTGTTTTGTTTTCACAGTTTAAAGCTGGAAAAGAATTAAAAGAAAAATACTATCTGATTTTCTTGCAAGTAAATCCACTTATTATATATATACATTTATTTATAGTCTGTGGTTTTTTTATTAAAAAAATCACCACTTGTTTTTCCTTTTTCTTTTGTAAAAAGAAACCTTTTTGCAGTGTCGTTGTTGGACTCGCTGGGCCCCTGAGGGGGGCTTCGGTGAGTCCGAGGACCCCCAAAGGGTCAATGAGCCCCCTTCCCAGGGGACCGGGGGCCTATGAGTCTAGGGGTCCACCATCGCCCCAGGGTCATCAAGTGGCCCTGAGGTGAGAGGTGAGGAGGGAGAGCTGCTTGATATCCCCCTGGGGGGTGAGCATCCCCTGCTCCTAAGGACAGGAGCTTGGGGTGGTGACCCCAAAAACTCACCCTGAGGATTCCAGGTTTCTGGGCATCTCACAAGCCAAAGGCAGCCGTCCCCTCTCCTTCCCCTCCCTCAAGGCCTAGGAAGTCATCACAGTGGGTTAAGGACCATTAAGGACTGGGAACTTGGGGGCTCGGCAAGCCCCAAGTGCACCGCCTCCAGGCACCTTTCGGACAGGAGGGACCTAGCACTCTAGGGTCCCCTGGAAGCCTACAATTGCCCCATCGATGCTGGGTGGAGCCGGCTCACAAGCCTCGGAGCTTGCCCAGCGTTCCTGGGGCACCCATCCAGAGGCTCCGGGGACCTGGCAGTGACCGAGGGGCTCACCTGGCCCCGGGGCCCCTGAGTCTCCACCCCCCCACTCGCCCAGGGAGGCAGAGCCCGCTTGGGGTTAAAGAGAACAGAAAAGTTAACTCTCCCGCATTAAAACAAAAAGTAACATAAACCCCTGATAAATGCAGAGAACATCCCCCTTCCTTTCCGCTCCTTCTCATTTTTTGCTTTAATGTTATCTTGGTTCCCTTTTATTTTTTCGTTTAAATTGGTTTTTATTAAATGTTAAAATAATGGTACATGGGAAATCATGCATTTTCTTTTAGATTTATTTTCTATTTTAAATTTTTTATCCTCTCTCGCTTTTTTTTTTTAAGTTTGTTTTTCTTTCCCTCGGTTAATATTTTGTCACGTCTCCTGTCGTTTTGCTTCTTTGTTCCTCTTATAGTTTGTTCTTTTTTTTAAAATTTACTTGCTATGTTTTTCTCTTTTTTTGTTTTTTTCATTTTTTTGTTTTTTTGTTGTTTTTTGTTTTTTTTTGTTTTTTTTGTTTTTGCTTTTGGAAGGTTTCCCCTCCCCTTGGATGGTTGGGTTCCCGCCCCCGCTGCTCGCCGCACTTCCGGGCGCTGGCGCCCCTCCTGCGGCGCCCCCAGGCCCCCCCGCACCCCCTCCGCGGGCTTCATACGGGGGTGGTCCGGCGGTTGGCTGTGTTGGAGTGGAGAGAGTCTTTGTTCTCCTTCTGGATACAGTTGTGGACTTGGAGGAAGCTGTTATCCCTGTCGGAGTTGTAGGTGGCGGTGGGCGTGGTGGCGGCCTTCAGGGGGTCCCTGCTGAGGGGGTACATGGAGATCTCCGTGGACGGCAGGGTGTTGAAGCCCTTGATGCCCACGGGGGAGGCGTCCCTGGAGTGTGAGGGCTCGGTGGAGCGCGAGCTGGAGCGGCTTCGGCGCTGGTAGCGGTAGCGGTAGCTGGGGATGCGGGTGATGGCGGAGGCCTGGAGGTAGTCCGTGGCGCGGGCGGTGGCCCGCAGCTGTTTGTGCCGGTCGATAAACATGTGCACGGCCAGCACCCCAACCATCTCGGCAATGATGAAGGACAGGGCCCCGAAGTAGAAGGACCAGCCGTACGAGTAACTATTCTTTTTGGAGTCGCTCTTGGAGGGGTCTCCGGCATTGGCAGATATGTACACTATGATGCCAATGATGTTACTCAGACCTGCAGGGCGCGGAGGGGGGGCGGGGGGATAAGAGAAGGGGGGAGGGTTAGTTTCCAGCAGGATGTCAGGCTTTGAGGGGGTTGACGGGACCGAAGGCGGGGGGGGGGGGGGGCAACTGGAGGGCCTTCCCTGATTCGGAGTTTTCAGAGTCAGTGCTCTAAAGTGATACTGGCAAGCATCACCTTAATATTTTATCGTGCCACCGAAGAGAGCCACAAACGGGAAGGCAATTGGAAACAAAAATACGGCAAGGGGGAGGGGGGAGACAGAGGCATTCTACAGCGCACTGAGTAATAATAACGGGTACTGTTTATTGAGCGTTTGCTACCTGCCTTCACTGTTGAGTGCGTTCCCAGGGGTTTGCAAATGAGGAAGTGGATCGCAGAGAGGTTAGGTAACCTGCTCAAGGCCGCACAGAGGTTTGAAGCTGGTATGGCAGGGGGTTCTGGCTCCTGGAGCCAGACTGTCTGGACTCAAAGCCTTTAGCAAGGTAGCCTTAGTCAGAGTTTGCAGATCTGTATAATGGGGAGAAGGATAGGACTCTTTGCTCTTGCAGGAGTGATTGAATGACTTAATCCATAGACAGGATTAAATGACTTAATACACATGAAGCTGTTGGGGGCCGGGGTGTGGCAAGGACTACTTAAATGTTCCTCGTTCTTATTAAATGGCTCATCCTACAGCCATGTTCTTTCTCTGACATTTGTAGCAACGTGACCAGTCCTGTAACGGGCTGAGGTATGTGGTTTTAGGTACCTGCCTGCACCCAGGGGTGACAGAGAGGGGACAGGGCAGTGAGGCTAGGCCCAGTATGCTGAGAGGGACCCGGGATTTGGGCCCTTTTCTTAAAGGTGGGAGGAAGATGGGCCATTTGGGCTGAGAGACAGGGTCTGGGGATGTTCCTGGGGGACTCAGTGGCGGGGAGTGGGGGTGGCGGCTGGGACGTTGCTATGGGGCAGGAGCCCCAGCACAACCTGCCTCCCCTATGCCATGACAAGTCCTGGGGTTCCCTCTTCTCCCCCCCTCCTCTCTGTCGAGTCCCCTCCCGGCCGCTGAGCACCCCAACCTCAGCCTTTTCCCCGCAGGCAGGCCTGGGCTTGGCCCGGTGCGGCTCTGTGGCCATTACCTGCAGACACGAAGAAGATGCCAGCACTCAGGATGATGTTGTGTCGAGTCTTGTAGAACTCGCTGGCCGCGATGCAGAGCCCACCCATGAAAAGCAGAATCACACTCAGGATTGGGAAGATGCTTGAGGCCCTCACGGCCCCTGTGGACACAGAGGGTCAGGGAGAGAGAGGGAAGGGCACAGCTGTGAGCCAGAGGGATGCCAGGGGGAGAGAGGAGCATGGAGCGTGGGTGGGGGAGGGGGAGGAAGCCACTGCCCAGCTCCCAGCCCTTCACGGGCTCCTCTCTGCCCACAGGACCAAACTCCAGGGCCTCATGAGGAGGGCCCTATGTGACTTCTTCCCTGGGGCTTCATGCCTCCTGGTCCCCATGTCCCCTCCTGTCTAGCCACAGCACCCTTCCCACGCCATGTAATTGCATGCTTCTGACTTTTGACATTGTAACTTTTCTTACTAGAATGTCTTTCCTGCTCTTTTTGACTCCGCAAACTTCTAGTCATCCTTTAAAACTCAACTCAGGGGCACCCGGGTGGCTTAGTGGCTTAGGTGTCCAACTTCGGCTCAGGTCATGATCTCTTGGTCCATGAGTTCGTGCCCCGCGTCGGGCTCTGTGCTGACAGCTCCGAGCCTGAAGCCTGCTTCTGATTCTGTGTCTCCCTCTCTCTCGCTCACTCTCTCTTTCACTCACGCTCTTTCTCTCTCAAAAATAAACGTCAAAAAAAAAAAACAAACCCAAAAAACAAAACCTACCTCAACTCAATTCGCCTCTTCTGTCAAGCCTTCCCTGACTTCCTTATGCAAAGTTATTGTCCCTTCCTCTGTGCTTTGGGGCACACTGAGAGGCAGCGTGTTACAGAGGGAGCCCATAGCCTGCATCTGAATCTGGCGTTAGCATGTGTTAGCTGCGTAAGTTTGGGCAAGTTGTCGCTCTGTGCCTCAGTTCCCCCATCTGTAAAATGGGGATGGATGGTAACAGCACCCGCCTCCTGAGATTGCTGTGAGGATTAGGTGCGTTGATTCTGATAATGCACTTAGATGAATCTCTGCCGGCGTGTGGTTAAACTCTGGTTAAGTGATAGTTATTACAGGAAAAATATGTTTCTACATATGCTTTCACCATAAGCCGTGGGATCCCATGAAGGCAAGGACCGCGGCTTTTTTTTTTTTTTTTTTAAGTTCTTTCTTTGTATTCTCTCTGTCCCCACCACACCTAGGTCGGTGTCAAAGACACAGTAGGTCTCCCATACAGGCTTGCTGAGTGAATAAAGGTGGTGAGGTGGTCCAGAAAGAGGAAGAAGCAGACATGTTGCCAAGAAAAGAAAAAGTTAAAAAAAAAAACCAAAAAACGCCTTCAGAATGAGGTAAGAAGGAAGGACTGACAAACAGACAAGAGGAAAGAATGTCTTCAGGAACATTTTCCACCTGCATGTAAGAGGGAGGACAGGGGGACGCAGGTGGCTGAGGGCAGGGGAAGGCAGCTGGGGGAGGGGCAGCCCAGGCAGGCAGGCTGTGTGTGTGTGTGGGGTGAGGGACGTGTCCGGACGGGGTCACCTCCGGGTCCTCCATAAAGGGTCTCTGGAGAGGGAAATAGCTTTTCTCTTCCAGATTCAAATAGGCAGTAGGTGGCCTCAGAACCCTGACTCCTTGTCCCCGGAGCTGTGGGCCTGGCAGAGCTTTCTGGAAGCTTGTGTGAAGAAAAGGAGGTTTTCCTTTCTGTGTTTGGGTTGTTTAAATGGCTTCTGAGGGAGTTGGGTCCTATTAGGGGGCCTGTGGGCTCAGCCCTGGGGGTGGGGGTGGGGGTTGGCTGGGGATGTTCATTTTGGAGAGGAAGGTGCCAGGAGTCCTGCCTCCCCTGCCCCCCCCCCCCTTTTGGGGGCAGTGTGGCCACGAAAATCTGCAGAGAAGAGAGTTTTTCTGTATAGAACTTGAGGAGTTTTTCTAAGAGGAGTTTAGCTAGTTTGCTGCGATGTGGGATATAAAACACCTCCTCTCTTTTGCCTGTGGGTCTTCAGGAAGTCTCCACTGCTTACTGATGCTGTTGGGCAAGTGGATTATTTTAGGGGGACTTGAAGAAGGGTGAACCTGAGCTGGGGTGAGAGGATGAGGCATCCGGGGGGTGCAGCTGGGTTACTGGGCAATCTGGCTCCCTTCTCCCGCAGACAGGGATGGGCCACTTTCCCCCAACCTGAGCGCTCTCCCCCTGCAAGTCATTTTAAGAGAACTGTTATGTCCCCAACCTGAGCTCCCCTCCCCCACATCCCTGCACACGCACACAGGATTGCAAGATGCCTGGACTCGCACAGTCAATGCTGCCTGAATCGGATTCATTAGCACGAGGGGATGGGGGAGCTTACTGAAGACTCAGGAGAGAAGAGAGAATCTTTGATAAGCACCGACTCTGTGTCTGGTCTTGAAAGAGCACCTGACATACATTCTATAGTTTAATCCTCATAACAGCCCCATGGGCTGTGTTTTTACACAGTTTATAGACAAGTTTATAGACAAGACCCAGTTTATAGACAAGTAAAGTTCAGAAAGGCATAGTAACTTGTCCAAGGCAGCCCAGCTAGTGAGTCAGGATTCAAGCCCAGATCAGCCCAACTTTTGGACGATCCTGTACTCTCCCTCAATGGGGCTTCCAAGGAGCCTGGGAAGAGATCTGGGCTTGGGCTCCCAGCGATGCCACTCACTTGCTCTGTGGCTGAGGCCGCTACCTCGCCCTCTCTGGTTTGCCCACGTACAAAGAGGGTGCTGACCATTAGATGATTTCTCATGCCGCTGCCCTCTCTGTGTGGATATGATTTCTGACCAGCTGGGAAAGGGGGATGACGACCAAAAGGAAGGAGAGGTTGGCGTGACTTTCAAGGGGGCAGCGGCAGTGGCTCAGATGAGCAGAGCGAAGGAGGAAGGACTCCAGTCTTTTCCCTCCGAGAAAGAAAGCAGGTGTTTCCTGCCCACCGAATGCCTGTGTTTGGCACACCCAGCCCGCACCGTCTGAGCAAATGCTTCACAGGCAGCCAGCGTTTGATGTCCCTGCCCGCAGAGACCGGATGTCCCAACCCAGCCTTCCTCCATGAACGGGGCTGGAGGGAGAGGTCTGCTGTGTTGCAGGCAGCGGGGAGCAACGTGGAGAAAATGGGGGCCACTTCAGAAGGTCCCGAGCAGCTAAGGGTATGCCCTGGAGCATGGCAGCCGGCGAGCAATGTGGACAGAAGCCCCTCCTGCCCAGCAGAGCCCACTCAAGCACCAGCCTCCCCCAGGAGAGGTCTGCCCCGTATGAAGGTGATGGGGACAGCTGGTAAACAGCACCATACCTAGGAAGGCTGGAGTTTGCAGGACCCGGATTGAGCCTGGGCAGGAAGCTGCCTTAGAGCCAGCAGGGGCTCTTGCATTGGAGAAGTTTCTCGAAAGTTCTTTTCTTTCTGGCTGGGCAGTGTCATGGGCTGAATGGGGATTTGGGAGTTAGATATACCTGAGCTCATATGCTGGCCTTGTCCCTAGCAATGTGGCCTGGGGCAAAGGTCTTTAAGTCACTGAGTCTGTTTCTGCAATCCTGTAGAATGGGAAAAATAACCCTAATATCCGACTCCCAGGAATGTAAAGTTTGCTGCTTACAGGGCAGTCAGAGGGCCAGGGGCCTCACAGGGGAGTGGGTTAAAACCTGCAGGTTATAGGCCCTCACACTGGAGCTACTGAGTTAGATTCTACGTTTCTTAATTGTTTTTTTACATTTATTTGTTAAAAAATTTTTTTAATGTTTTTATTTATTTCTGAGAGAGAGAGAGAGAGAGACAGCGTGAGCAGGGTAGGGGCAGAGAGAGAGGGATACACAGAATCCGAAGCAGGCTCCAGGCTCTGAGCTGTCAGCACAGAGCCCAATGTGGGGCTCGAACCCACAAACAGTGAGATCATGACTTGAGCTGAAGTCAGATGCTTAACCGACTGAGCCACCCAGGTGTTCCAACATTATTTGTTTTTGAGAGACAGAGTGAGACACAGTGTGAGCAGGGGAGGGGCAGAGAGAGAAGGAGACACAGAATCCAAAGCAGGGTCTAGGCTCTGAGCAAGCGTTCAGCACAGAGCCTGCTGTGGGGCTCAAACCCACGAACTGTGAGATTGTGACCTCAGCCAAAGTCGGACGCTTAACCTACTGAGCCACCCGGCTGCCCCTAGATTCTATGTTTTAACAAAAGCATGTCCCACCAGTCATGTGCACGTGGAAGTTTGAGAGGCACTGTTGTCAAGGTTAAGTTGGACACTGGCTGTCCTGTTTCTACCCTAGAAAGTGTACAACAAAAGGTACAATTTTTATTATTTCTATTATCCTGCCCCCTTCATCCAGACACTACTTCCCCATGAATTGTCTTGATTCCCACTGAAGCTGGTGTGGTTTTAGTGCTAAAATCTATCACGAGGAGCAGAAAGTATCTGGTTTATGGGGCGCCTGGGTGGCTTAGTCGGTTGAGCGTCCAACTTTCGCTTAGGTCATGATCGCGGTTTGTGGGTTCAAGCCCCGCATCGGGCTCTGTGCTGACTGCCAGCTCAGAGCCTGGAGCCTGTTTCAGAGTCTGTGTCTCCCTCTCTCTCTGACCCTCCCCCGCTCACGCTGTCTCTCTCTCTCTCCTAGAAATAAACAAAAATTAAAAAAAAAATTATTATAAAAAAAAGAAAGTATCTGGTTTATTCAATGAGCAAATGTGTATCGATCTCCTACGAGTAAGCATGTGGAAGTACGCTGTACCTACCAACAGTTTTATAGCCCTTCCTATGTGCCAGGTCCCATTCTAAGTGCCTTACATGGATAAACCCACTTAAACCTTATACCAGCCCCATGAAGCCATGGCCTTGGCATCAAGGAGATCACAAATACCTAAAGCAGGTATATTTACTGTAAAGGGACAGGTAGTAAATATAATATTTCTGCCTTTGCTGGCCATATGTTCTCTGTTGCAACTACCCAGTTTAGCTGTGGTAGCATGAAAACAACCTTGGGCACTTCGTAAACAGATGAGTGAGGTTCTATTTCAATAATACTTTATTTACAAAAACAGTCAGAGGGCCAGATCTGGCCGACGAGCTGCAGTTTGGCCATTCCTGGCTGGGAGCATACTACGCTGCACTGGGGAAGGGCCACATGGTCCCA